TTAATGCATGGTGAGCAGGCAATAAAACTGTAAGGGGCGGAGTCGAACTCCGAGTGCAATAGCTGCTCGTAGTGCGGTCAATTTTGCGCAGAGTTTTTAAACGACAAAAGATGTGTGAGCCGCAGTGTTGTTGGAATCTTAGTGAAGAGGGTGCATGGTGGAATAAACACTGTAATCTTGTATACATATAGCTTACACTTTTGGTACAATTGCAATAAATTAATCTGTATAATTGTTCCTAGATTAACGTTGCATTTTTGTGTAATCGTAAGATTCTTGAACACTATGGTATAGGTTTAATAAAGATGATTAGATCTCGTAAAGCAAACGTTCGTGATACACATAGGCCACCAGGTGCATGTCAAATGTGAAAATAAAAAGTAAATATTTAGTTATAGTCCAAAGTAATTGTATTTTGAAATAAGAGTACTAATTGAAATCCAGATACGCTAGAGGCTCTCGAATACCCTTGGTAGTTGCATACCGAGTCAATCTCTGTGCGATTAGCAATCCGGACTCATTGAGTCGAAGCTTTCTCTGCGCGAGTGCACGGCAATCTTGTAACGGGGTTACACATACCTAGTAACAGGGGTATGTGTCACACAAGATGGGCATGGTGTGACTGCACCCAAATAAGAATATGGTTTGTGGCTGGGTAGCCAGTAGTTATGCATGTATATAACTTTTACCAGATATATTTAGGAAAATCTATACATTAAAATTAGACGGCTTTGCCGCAGATTAAACAAATAAATACACCTTACATTCTAAACAGAGAAGTTTACTAGCCTTGGGTTCATGTTCTAACTACTTTTGGAGTTAGCAAATTGCGATCCGTTACACTCGTACCGGTTCTTGTGAAAAAGTCAGGTCGGTGACCTGAATTAAGCTTTCTCTAAGCGCAAAGCTACGGCAGCCCCGCTGCAAAGCTTGCATCTTCATTTTGTTGATTCATTCGTTGCTTTGTTGGCCAAATTCTAAGTGGACATGTATTTTGTTCTTTATCCCAATCCATTTTAAATGCACGCAACACGCGGTCTCAATCTCAAATACTTATCGCTTTGCTGCCTAATTTACTCGGTGCACCAACTCAGCCTGTAAATTGCCTATTGAGTACACCAAATAATCAAACGGTGCGTCTATGTGCGCATGAATTCTAGTTCGTAAGCTTTCCGGGCAATACATATATGAGGGCTTACCGTTAAATTAAGTTGCCACGATTTGAGTTATGCTAAACGGTACTATACATTCTGTAGCGTTTCTGCGCTCAAATTCTGGCCAATTATGAAGCGTCCGGTATACTTCCCTTATTAGCGTAATCACAATGTTGGTCAGCATCTCCAGGCGAGCAATTACCGCTTTCGGTTCTGTGGCCGGAGGTTTTTACCCCACTGAGACCCAAGATATACATAAGCTTCCCAAGATGGTCTATGTAACGGGGTGACATGAGAGTGACCCGTCACTCTCCCAAGGGAGCTGTGGTGTGGC